GGGGGGGGTGTGGGAATGAGCTCCTTCATCAGACACATCGATGCAGGAAATTGTAATCAGTGTCCAGCTGTGCTGGAGAAACACAAATGGAAAGGATGTCGCGAAGGGAAAGGGCTGAATCAGATCCACCCCAAACGCGACGGCGGATGCAGAATACAGGCCCCATGCAGCGGTATTTTTATCCAGCGACTGAGGTCTGTTTTCAGGTTGCTCTTGTCACTGATTGCTCTATAAGCAGCACCCGCGGAGATGCTAAGATGTCTCATGCCATTAATTGCACTTTCGCTCGGAGAGCTCCTTTCATCTGCCAGGATCCCAAAGCACCTTAAACAGTGACGCACGAGCTACATCAGGGGCTTGTTTCAAGCCCTGGTCCAGGTGGAGCCCTGTGGACGTTTGGCGGCGGGCAGCAACGCGTTGCGGGTGGGGGGCGAAGAACACGTCTCGTTGAAACTGCGCAGGGAACCTCACGTAGAAAGAAGGCGACTCCCCGAGGAGAACGCAAACCCACACGGCCCTGCCCCTTTCATGGCCCGAAAGTGTTAGGACATGTCTGAAAGACGGTAACCCCGTCATCCACCCCCTTTGCAACACGGCCCGAGCTGATTACAGCATGACTGAGCGGCTGCTGGGATGAAGCATGAGAAAAGCAAGGCAAGCACAGTCCCAGGCCAGGTACGTCCAGTGGAGATAGGGAAGTACCTGCAACCGCCTTTGGATCTGGCAGGTGTCTGTTACCAAACAGGCCATGACAGGAAGCACACTCCAAATTTGACCCAGACACGTCAGCACTAGCCACAGCACCCAGGGATCTGGGAAGAGCGAGTGGAAAGAAAATTTGGATGACCAAAGCCTGTGTTTTTAAGGCACCAAAACGAGAGCAGTGTTGAAGCCCATCCCTGCTCAGCACAGCATTTAAGCACGTGCTTCACTGGATAGAGTTGGATGGTGGGCAGGTGTGGGAGACCCCATCAGATCGCGTCAGAGATCGTGTCGTCTCTCCTCCAAATGGAGGCACTTTGGGTAAATATCCTTCCCCTTGCCCCCCGACACCGAGGCAGGCTCAGAACGAGTGGAGGGAGACGTGGGGAGGGACGGCCGATGTCCTACGATCCCCACAGCAAGAGTTACTACCCAGCACGGCTTACGAACAATTCACTCTCTGCCAGACCAAGCTGCAGACAACAGGGCTGCAGCTGCTACGCTCGAGTCATTATAAATCCATACTCCAGCTGTGGGGTTTCAAATCGAGTTATTTTTAGATGCATCTTGTCTGGGACATGACACCCTCTCGGGTGATCAAAGCTCAGTTAAACAATTAGGAACTGGAAGATGAAGGGCCCCGACTTCCAGAAAGGACCGATTTTTTTTTTTTTTGCCAGGGCTCCTTCCCTTTGAATCTGCTCGCTTGTTTTCGTGCCGTCTGCCCGCGCCCGCTCCGTGGGCATCACCGTGAAGCTGCGCCCGCAAAGCCGAGAGCTGGAGAGCTCAGCTCTGCCAGCCCCGTTCAACGGGCAGAGCGCAGCCCTCGCACAAATGGCAGGTGAGTTGAGTCTCTGTGAAAAAACCCCAATAGAAAGCTGAAGAGGGAAAGAGAGCCCCACGGCCGAGTCCGCCTTCCAAGCGGCAAAGGCTCCAGAGGTTTCAAAAGTCCAACCAGATGTTGCACGATGTTGAGCATCTGGCAACAGAAGAGGGTTTTAATCTGGTTGTAGGCCGCAGGCAGGGCTCCCCCAGCCCTGGATTCACACAAGGATGACGCTGAAAGGGGACCGGGGTTAAGCAGTGAACGGTCAGGCGGTGAGAAACCAAAGCATGGGGCAGAAGGGGCAAGTAACAAGCGGGAACCATCTTGTCCAAGGACAGGACTCCCAGCCCACTGAAGACGCACAGCAAAGCAGGAGGTTTCCAGATGGGCTCAGAGTAGTGTCTGGTTACTTTAAATGTTGACATGGTGAATTGAACTGTGGTTATTAATACATGGGGTGGAGAGAAACAGGACCTACCTTCGAGCAGCTCTGAAAGTGCCTGCATTCACCCGGATCCTCCCTTCCCTGCCCAGTCCTAGCCGTGCGTTTCCAGGCAGTCGGTCCTGCTAGGACACAGCAACGGGAGGGCAGCTTCCAACAAGAGGCGATTCACACCGCTCCTGCAGAAATCACGCCCACGGTTATTTGCCAACAAACATTTTCAACACAGTGGTGCAGTCCGTGGGAAATGTTTCCCTAAGGACTCGCAACCCAGCTCTTCCTGCCCTGCGGGTGCTGCACGTCCAAGGGTAGAGGGATGCGGATCCAGTCGGGTTTTGCAAGCGCCAGACACTGCAGCGGCAGGACGGATGCACCAGAAAGGCCGAAGCAGGAGGGAATGGAGGCCAATGCAAACACCAGGAGGCAACAGCTGATTTTCCCAGCACCATCTGCACAAGGCAGCAGAGTCTGCTTTATTTCACATGCAGTTTAGTTGCCACGAGCAAGACAGCAGCTTTGAGCTCCTACTTATCCTCCTCATTAATTTACACATGTATATGAATGAGGTCCAAACAGGAACAGCAACCTGCCAGGGGTCCCACTATGGGAGGAAGCGTCTCGGCCTGGCTTAGATCTCAGACAGCTTCTGCATCTCCATCCTTTGCTCAAATTCAGCTTTGCTGGTAAAGGGGCAATGACGCAGGGCACCTGCTTACAGATGCCAAAAGGGGAGAGACCGCCCAGCACTTCCAAAAGCTACTCCGGCGGTGGCTAAACCGAGTGGAAACGACTTCTTAGCACCCAAGAAACATGAAGCACGGTCCGCGTCATTGCAGAGATACAGCAGAGTGGGCGAAACGCAAGCAAACCCCTGACTTCCGTCTGTGTGAGTCCGGTCCAACAAAACCGATGCCGATTTGTGTAGGAACAGCAGCCTCTGCCTGCAGGGGAGTCGAGGCTGGGGTAACAGGGAGGTCGCAGGGTCGGACAGATGCGCCGGCAGGGTGATGCCTCCTAGAGCTGGAAAGCAAGTGGGTTCAGGTGGGGAGCGACGGGCACCAGCAGACCCAGGCATCTGGCAGCATCTTCCAGGATGTGCTCGTCCCTGGCCGGCACTTTCCCCATCGTCCTCTTCCTGGGAACAAGGTTGTCTCCGCAGCCCGGGGAGGGGTGCGCACGCAGGGCGCGGCAGCTGGGATGCCTGGGAGTATTTCTCGCTGAAAACAATAACTTAGCAGTTGTTGTAGAGGATTCGAACCCGCACCGCCGACACTGCACCTTTGGGGGTTACCATGGTAACTGTTTTCACCAAGACCCAGCTAACCCCGTGTCAATTCATCTTCGGGAGCTGTCTGTAGCCAAGTGGGTTCCTCGCGCGGCTGTTTCACGGAGGCCTGTGGTCCGCACACGCGCTGTCGACAAGACGGTCCAGGCTGCCGGGTGGCTGCCTGCGCAGAAACCCCTGTGTTAGCAGGCGAGCTTGCTCCGCGCGGCATCGTGCCATGCCACAGACTGCTCCGGGTATCCGCACGGCCTGCCCCAGCTTCTCCACCAAAGCCACTAGCCTGATTCCTCCCGCTTTGTCAAGAAGGTGTCCGAGCCAGTCCCCAACCAAAGTAGTTTAGGGAGCGTGAGATGGGGACCAAGGCCTGGGGCTTGTTTCGGCATTGTACGGGAGGACAGGACGGGGGTGGTAACGTGGATGCTGCTATGCAGGAGCTTAGCGTCACTGAGTAATCTCAACAGTGCTGCCAAGCTCCGGGTCGCACCCCCGGCTACGGAGATGGACCGTCCGCCAACGGAGACTGCGCGGCGGCTGCAAACTCTCCGAAGCCCCCAGTGGCATCACCCCAGCCTTGCGCAGTGCAGATGCCTGGCGCAGCCCACCCCAACGTCCGTGTGGGAGCTGGGACGGGCCCTCAAGGACCTCAACCCCCGCGGGCCAAAGCGGGGCTACCGGGGAGGTCTGTCTTCTCCCGCAGCCCCGCACAATCTTTCCAAGCCCAACTCCGAGCGCTTTGCCCCAGCACGCGCAGCCTGCCAAGTCCCAAATGCAGCATGGCCCTGCAAGTGGCTCCTGCTCCAGCATCTGCTGCCAGTCCAAAAGCTCTTCCTCGCTCCCCTTCATCAGCTAGCTCCCCGGGCTTTCCCACTGCAGGAAATCCCTCACCGCCCAGCGCGGGGATGTCTCTTCTGAATGCCTCTGCCTGCCCAGCTCAGAGACGTCCGAGTCAAAGGGCCCGTGGACCCTCCCAGGCCCTCACAGCTGCAAGGGCTCGTAGGGTCTGCCCTGCATACCTGATGGAGCCACGAAGACCCCGTCCCTTCTGCTTAAACCATGCTAAAGCCTGAGGTATCCCTAGCACTGACACAAGTTACACCTCTCAATGCCCCTGTACTCACCATGCAAACAACCCCTCGCATATTCGCAGCGCAGGGCTTGCCTTGGGGAGGTGATCAGTGACGTTCGCTTGCACTTCCGCACGTGTCTTTCACCAAGGCAAAACCATCGCCAGCTAGCGATGGGGAAACTAAGACCGAGTCCCTTGTCTGGCGTCACACTGCGAGTCGTTGACGGAAGCGGAAATCGAACCCAGATCCTGACAGTCATGACAAAGACGACCTGACCACGGGACACTTCTGCATGTCTTTTTTATTAACCATTTATTGTCTGTAATCATTTTACTCTCACATTGCAATCGCGTGGTTTATTTATTTCATCTTTCTTTTTTTAATAGCTTTTTTTTCTTTTTGTAAAATAAATAGAGATAAGTGAACTTTTAGGTAGGATGCTCTCCAGATCCTTGGTTAACTTCATGATTGAATTTCTGCATCAGACCTGTAAAAATACAGCCCACACACACACACACACGCTTAGATGAAAGCTAAACAGGCTGAGTCAGTTAAAAACCACGTTTCCTGGCTGTGCAGGCTGGGGGCGGGGGGCACTCAGGGAATGCTGGTGTGAAGGAAAAGCAGCTTCCCGCAGTGCACCTTTGCATTTTGCCAGGTACTTCTTGTTCTTTAAACAAATACACTGATACAGGTTAAAAATCTATGGTTTGTTTTTAAGCTGTGTACGTTAATCAGTTAATTGGAGATCCCCAACTCTTGGTTCAACACTTGCCAGCAAGCCCGTCATCGGCCATTCCCTGAGCTCAGTGCCATACACAGAGGGACGAGGTGCGGTCATTAGAGGTTCAAGAACGCGTACCGCTGCCATCGATCGCCGGCCACGTACACCTGTGTATAACAGCAGCTCAATGGGCCACCAAGAGGCATGACTATTGGTAGCCCACGTATCAGAAAAATGGGTTTTTAGGTAGATTTCCTCATTGAGGGTTTGCTATAGTGTCCCTGCAAGGTGGCCTGCAGCCATTTCTAGTGTAGAGAAGAATACACTTGTGCTCAAAGGTGGGAGCAGCATGTTGCTTTGGCCTCTGCCTCAGTCTCAACAGCTCAAGGAACCCTGTTAACGGAGTGCGTTGAGATCTGCCTACGAAGCTCTGCTATTTGGCTTGTCGTCTTAGTACCCAACGGTCAGTTTGGAGACCGCGGTGCAGCCCCACTGCCCGGGTACCAGACGCTGCCTCCAGGAAGGAGATGAGCTGGCTTGTCATGACCGGCGACGACACTGGGAACGCCCAGCCAGGTTCTGCTGGCTAGGCAAAGCTGGTGTCCGCAAGGCGAGGGATCGGTATTGTTCTTCTCCCTTCTCACGAACGCTAGCATCATCCTCGGCCTCATCAGCAGCAGGAGTTTTTTGGGGCCTCTGCTGCCCAGCCAGGATGGTGACAGCAGCCAGAAGCAGCACTGCGCGAGTCCTCTACGTTGGGATCATTTAGCTTTGTCCTTGTGGTTATTTTTGCAGCGGGGGGTGGGGTGGGGGGGACAGTGGTCTCCTTGCCTGGTTTAGTCGCACCTAGACCATATGTGATGGGGAAATCTTCCCTTGGTCATGGCTGCCTCTTTCCAAACACTGATCTCCAGATGCGTTGTGGATTATGAGGGACAGAAGCATTTGTTACACGCAGGCACGGGAAGGGTGGGAGGTCTGATCGTAGCCTTCCCCAGAGGACAGGGGCAGGCGCCAGGGAGAACAAGCTGCTGCTTGCCCTCTCTCCCTGCGGGACAGCAGCACTTCTCTCGTGATTATAACACACGTGTGCCCATGCCCAGGTGCGTACATGCACACCAGGACAGCAGCGCACACCAATCTGCCCCGACTCCTACAGAAACACGCACATATAGCCAGATGCACATGACCAGGCGTGCATTTGGATGCACACATATATGCAGCTGGACGCGTGCAGTCACGCGTCTAAGCATCTGTGTCCGTTAGCTAGTGGAATATTAGCACGTCTGAGTGAGATGAAAGCCTGTGGTTTAAGGCAGTGGTAAAATGAGTCTGGAGCCTCCTCGCTGCCTGTGCAGAGCTGTGACGTCGTCTCACGCGTCGGTGGAGTTTTCCGTGGGTAAAAGGACTGTGATTACCAGAAGAGCGGAGCGAGGGAGACAGAAAGGACTCTTGCCCCTTCCCCTCAATCCCACGGGTGTGTGCTCATTAACACGGAGCTCCACTGGTGACTCTCTGCAGTTTCCTCAGCGTCCTAAGGATGTCACCCATTTCCCATCCATTCTCTCAGCTCCTGAAAACCCCCTGCCCTCCGAGCCCTGCTCCTCTTTGCTGCCAGGCAGATTCTTCTGCTTGCTTCGTCTGTGCCCTCCCCGAGCGGGAGCAGCAGGGGGTTGGCCTGCACGTAGGGCCGACGGTTTCCTCTTTCACTTCTCTCTCTTACAAACACAGATCACTCAAGAGCAGGTGTCAATAGTCCACAGGCGACTGACTGGGCTCCACCTGCCTGCCAGAAGGGCTCCTGCTCAGCACAGGGCAGATGGCCGCCAGAGAGGTCTCGGGGCTGAGTCAGAACGCAAAGAGCAGCAAGCAAGTCTTGACTTCATTTCTTAAGCAATCTACGGTCCAGCAGAACAAAGGAACAAAAACTAGAGTAAAAAGCTCCTCACGAGGGTATTGTCTCCTCCTGTCCGGCTGTGCCCGGGGAGCTGTGTTTCTAACAGAGAAGCAACCACCAAAACCCGAAGTAAACATTCCTGTTTTGTAGTTGTGAGACGACAGAGCTGAAAAGAAAATAGGAGGTTGTCTCTCTTTCCCCCCCTCTCTCAAAGTCATTCAGTAGCTAAGTCAGAAGGAAAAAAATGTGTTCAAGTCATGGGTTGCAGCAGCAGCCAACACTAAACATTCAAGTTGATAGTTTCACTATGTACAATACAGGTGAGACGCGGCCCTGCCTGCTGGGGCTCCCCTCTCTCCGACCAGGCTGCCGTGTGCTGTTATCTGATCCGCTTCTCCACCGAGTAGACTGAGATGTAGTAGTCATTGCTGCCGACTGCCAGGTGAGGCTGTGAGGGAGAGCAAATCAGGGATCAACAGGCAGGAGTCGTGCAAATACAGAGAGGTAAAGCGTAGTCAAGGTGGGGGGGTCGGTACTTTTAGCAGTGCTGCCCTGACACCAGGGAACGTCCTGCCGCACCTGCCAACATAGCTACGTTTCTGATGCTGCCCAGCCAGCTGTATCTGTCACAGGGAAAACTATGGCTGCCACTAGCTGCCAAATTCTAGCACCATTCCTCTAAATTACTAAAAATGTTCCTGTTAGCAACGATCCCCTGGACTGAATACCACTGCACTATCTACTGAGGGCCCTAGGAGCCAGGCTAGGCTTTGAACAAGATCAGTGCTAAAGGGCGGCTTTGTCAGCTTGCTGTAAAAGCAGACAATTTCAGGACAGTCGGCTTCCTCTCATACCCAGAACCCAAGGGCAGCAAATCATTAACAGTCTGGCAGAAGTGTCCCAAGCAAAAAGGGAGACCAAGAGTATTCTGCTATTGCTTCATGAACATGGGAGCACCATGCAGTTTGGCACCACTGGCTATGTCTGCGCAGGATAGGCGAGATCTGGAACAAAACCGTGATGCACCGTTGAGCAAAATTGTCTTTAGAGACTGTATAACTGGCCCCTCTCCCCCCACTCCCAATTGCCAAAAATCTTTCAGAGTTTAAAGAGCAGATACAGACCCAGTGAGGATGGAAAGCCAGGCAGCTGATGGCTCCAACTCTTTGTCCCATAAATCCATCGTAGTATTTGATATTGTTGATCAGCTCACCATTCCCATTGTAGATCGCAGTGAACTGATTCATGGAGCCGCTGGAAAGCAAGAGAGAACGTGGTGTACTGACACTGCTGACCAGACACAAAGCTCTGCTCTATTCCCTGCCTCTTGGCTACAGAGTTGGTTATAAAATAACCGTGTGCACTGCGAGTGCTCAGAAGCAGGGAGATTGGTTTTAATCCACGCCATGACGGCCTCAGTACGAAGGAAAGATTTACAGACAGATCAGAACGGAGCACTGACTGATCTGTTATACACCAGGGGCATGACAGAAAATAGGAAGTCATGGCAAGTGCACACTCATGGAAAATAGCTGCTCCCAACTCAGGACCCCCTCTCAGAGCCCAACTGTATGGCATGCTGCCTTCGGGTAGGAAGTCCAACACACAAGTGGCAGCACCGGCCCCCGTTACTTTGAGTCACCAGTGCAAAAGCTCCATGAAAGCATGCAAGGGTTAAAATACCTGAGCTGCGCCCATGGGAACGAAGCCGTACTGTTCATGGCAAAGGGGGAGAAAAGGGACATGAAAGGTATTTGTAAGGATGGGTTCCTTCTCTCGTCCTCCCGCAGGGCAGGTGGCAAGAGGCTAATACCTACCAGGCAAAGAGATTGGCCTGCGGGTGAATGTCCAGGGCAGTCAGCCCTTTGACTATCTGCAGGACCCTCACAGACTCCGGCATCCTGGGGTCGAAGAAACGAACATCACCGTTCACGCTGTCAACAGAGCAGTTTTCACATTAGATTTTGCCCCAAAGCTGGGAGCAAGTCCTGTAGCCCAGGAGAGCAGGGGTGTGAACTGAGCACCACCCTCACGGGAGGGCTATGTGGCAGGCCGGCCAGTAGGGGGAACTCCTGTGTTAAGCCTCCCACCTCACTACGCCCGTCCACCTGCCGGACTCCACGTGTCTCCCCAGGGGCGCCAAGCCCTGGCAGACCCCCTTTCAAGCCCCACCGCAGAGTCCGTGGGGTAACGTGCTGCCACCACCCCGAGAAGGGACTGTCTAGGGCCTGTGTCCTCAGGGAAACACAGGCCTAATAGTCCTACGGGTACTTGACCCAATACAAGAACTTGGGGCTCCTCCCAAGTCGGGGGCCAAAAAGGATAGTCTCCCTTAGTCCGCAGACTGAAGGGGCCTCCTAGGCATAATTAACACCTCCCCCCTCCCTCCTCAATAAGTCTCCTACACCAGACACAAAGGAGAACCGTATTGGTTACAAAGGGTAGGGTTAGACTAGGGTAAGAGGTAGAGCACTATCAAGGGATTACCGTTGAGCAAAACAGTCTGGCTGAGGTAGCCATTTGATACGCAAATGCATCACTGGGAGCTGACTAGCTCTCTAGAAACACTTACAAGCATCACCCAGAAGATGGTAGAGATCTGGCTTGGAGATTTCCAGAGAGAGGGCATTTCCAGTGGATCACACTCTCCCTGTGTCCTGGTGCTTGTGCCATGCTGGTAAAATGGTTTCTCTCCTCCTCCTCCTTGGACCAGGCCCTTGTAGCACCTTTCTGACCTCAGCAGCCCAGTCCAAGAGAAGCCAGCAGTGTTGGCCACTAGCCAACCAATTTAAAAAGCATCACTGGTTACCTGGACCGAGGAGCGGGGGCATTTCCCTCCCCCACTCAGCACCAGGCTTTTGTCAGGTAGGCAGAGGGAGCAGGTTTCCCCCTCCCTCAGGAATGTATCCAGCTCAGGTTACCCCAAGAGATAGGGGAAGGATGCGTCTCTCTGCTGGGCCCATCCTTATCAAACTGTCACAGTGCAGGGACTTTGGGGGGAGACAAAGGGGGCTTTCTGCCACAGGCTACAGCAAAGATGACCTTCGGCTCAGCATCGCCCATCCTGCTGGCATCGTTACCACCTGGATCCACCCTACCACCGCTCATTTTTCAGTGGCATCCCAAACGTACCGGGTGCTACGCAAACAAGGGAAAGCACTGGCCCTGCCCGAGACAGCTCTATTCATGCACCCTACATCATGCCACGATCACCAGGCTAGGAGTGCCTTCCCTGGCATACCACATGCCACACAGCAAGCACGTCAGACCGAGTCTCTTCTCCATCCTTCGGATGCGAGTGGCTTGTTCCATCGGAGTCACTAATCGCGTGGGCTCCTATGAGTCCCCCATTACACCAGTCGCCTGGACTCGGGCCCATAAGCCGTTGCTGTTCAGAGCCCCTGCCGGAGCAGCCATAAGCACACACTGATTATATCTGAGCTACATGCCAGTCCTTCAATGACTTGACTTAGGAGGGGAGAGCGTGTGGGGATGTGGGGAGCAGCACTGGGAAGATGCTGTGCTAACCAGGTAGAGCAGCTTTCAAAGACAGAACGGGCTGCCAGATAAAGGGGGCACTTGGAAGCAACCACTAGGTTTAAGCCTGCTGGCGCTGAAGAGGATGCATCTTGTTCTTCCCTTCCTCCGCACCCAGGAGTGATACTCCTAGGCCTGAAGAACTCCTCTCCTGTGTCTTTCTGAGGGGATTTGTCCATTAATCTTGTGCAGGGGGGAAGACAGTCAGCAAGACTCTCCCAGGGAGGCTCTGTACCTGCCTGTCCTCTTTCTGTCCCAAGCCAGAAGTCAGCCGCCTGCCTCTATAAAATGCCCTTTCTTCCCTCCCCCAGAGACCGCAGGCAGCTGTAATACAAACTGCGGCGGCAGCGAGAACACTTCCTTTAGTCTCCTCCGACCGGGACTTTCTAGTAGTCAAAGAACGACCACTGCACAGATTACTCGCCTAATTACAGAAAGCTGCAGCTCCCACTGTCACAAACTTAAAGTCAGGACAAAGTCATCTGCAGACAGATTTGGATCTTAAAGAACGATGGTTTGAAATGGGTCAAACAAATGCAATACAGCATGTTCATTCAGAGCCTACACTATCAACAGGACAATTTAAAACTAAGCTGTACTTGAGTGGAAAACGCTGACAGTTTCCAAATGGGAGTCAGGGTTTCTGCTCTCACACGGCATGGAGAGGAACGTGGCTTGCAGAACCTGCATCCAAGCTCCCCCGCAGTTCGTGCTTCAGAAGTCAGCTACAACAATCCAGCTTGGACCCCGCCGGGGTGCTTACGGCACTGCTGGCGAGTCGGCAGATGGTGTCCCTCTAGTAAAGTGCAGGTGGTCTGGCACAGACAAAATGGCAGGGCATCGCGTGGATATCTGCAACTCGGGAAGGAGGTGGCAACAGCACATCACCCAGGAAGGGGCTCTGAGACCACAACCAGAATTTAGGGTTTCTGGCTGGTTTCAGTTAATAAAAGGATGAATCCTCCCAGACTTGATGCCTCGCAGGCAATCGGCTGGGGCCAACATAGCTTCAGAAGCGGAGAAAAAGCCACCACCCGCGTGAGAATGAGAATGCAGGTTGTATTCCCTAAGGGCTGATCCCCGGGGAAGAGGCAGGTGCAGAGAGAACTGGCCCTGGATACAACCCGACATGGTGTGGCGGCGACAAGGAAGATTCATGGCTGCTCTGACCCAGTAAAACAGTCAGAGTAGTGAGTAGTGAGATAGGCATGGATACCCCATCCTGAAGCCTCTTCTGAGCATCCATCAGAAGGTCCTAACCTTGCTATGAAGATATTAGACTGCACTGAGTCACGCTGCTGGCAGGCTTAGTGACACCAACAGAGACAGAGACCCTGAATCAGACATCATTAGGCAGATGCTGAATCACGGTGTTGAGTAAATGTGAATGAACCTTTCCAATCAGGGCGCTCAGCAAGAATCCTCTAGGGAACTTTAACCCAAGGAATGACATTTAGAGATGGGAGGAAAATTAAAATCTTCCTCTGTTGCTGCTTGTTTGTTGAGATGAGGTTTGTCAAAGTTCGCTCAACCTATGAGCAATCCTGAAACGTGGAGGGGATGCCTGACCCCCTGACCTGCTATCACCACTTCACAGCATACTTTTCCCACCACAAAGAAGCACATCTCAGGCCCAGGTGCCTGCTCCTACTTTGCGCAGGACTCCTTGGGTTTTTAGGGTTGAGGTTTGGGAACAGCCTTCCAGAGCAGACTGCCAGAGGATGGGCCGACAGAAACAAATTCAGTCTTGGCTCGAGCACTTGGCTCAGCCTGGCCACGCCAAGGATTAGATGCCCACCCTGCACCTAGGTTTCATGATCCCCTGAGCCCTAGGCGTGTTTTACTGGTGTTCAGGTTAAAATGGCCAATTCTGGGTTAGGAGCTCATTCCCTCATGCCGTTGGATGCAGGGTAGAGATCACTCCTGGATTCAGCTGGGTGCTTCCTGCAAGGGTCTGGAAATAGCTGTACCCAAACCAGCTGCTGGAGAGAAGCCCTTTATGTTCAGCATGGACTGCAAGATCGAAGTCCAGCGTCTTTGGGATGGGGGGAAGGGCTCGAGGGGGCGGATACATCCATCCAGGTACAACATTTTCTTGTGAAAAGGACCGTCTGCTGAGACGGGCACGAGGAGAGGGAGCAAGTGTACGTTCCTGCAGGGACAGGCCAGGCACACCAGCTTGGCCCCTGGGATTGCTGAAGGAGATTAAAATGAGGAAGATTAAAAACTCTAATATGGGAACACTACAAATCTAGCAGCTGCACCACTTAAGCCCCATTCTTAAAAAAAAAAAAGGTTATAAATCTTTGCCCCCACCTCAGGAAGGCAGCGCATCCGCCAGAATTATGCTTTGTTTTCATTGCGTGAAGAAAGGAAGAGGAGCCTCTGTGAACAAACTGGGGCTTTGTGGCAATAAATTATATTCTGCTATCCTTTAACGGGCAAATAAATATATGCTGCTCTCCACACGGTATTTACCAGGCAGGCAAATGGATTTATGTGTAGAAAATTGCTAGACGGTGAAGTAATCCTGCACAGCAATATGCCCAACAGCTGCACATAACCCTCCTCCCTTCTTATGTTCTGTCTCATACGACCTGCCAAAGCTGTTTGCAACACGGTAGGACAAACACCCGACACAATTTGTTTCTCCAGGGCCTTTGGCTCACAGCTGGCCCTGACCCTCCTTTTGACAGCGATTTCTGCACTGCCTTTTCTCCTTTACCTGTAAAAACTTACTAACCAGTGTTGGTGTCTCCTCTCCTCCTCCCCATCACGCTCTGGAGCAGGAGTTAATTACCGAGCCACGTGGGCAGAGAAAAGAGCTTTCATAACAGTGACAGACTTGCACTGCAAAGGAACACGATGGATTTGCAGGAAACCCTCCCAAGCAGCCCAGGCCCTTTTACCTGACGCTCATGATGTTGCCTTCGGGATGCTTCTGCAGATAGGCTTTCACCACCCAGGCCGTGTGCTCCCGATAGGTCATGACGCGGCTGAAGACCAAGTGGAGAGAGAGGAAATGTTTTGGGGGGAAGCAGGATGAAACTAGGGGAGGGCTGGTGAGCCCCTCGAGCTCCCTGTCCCCAGGGGGCAGCTACCCCGATGGACCATCTCTTTGTTGTCAAGTCTGGAGACCTGACAATGCAGGGCCTGGTCCTTTGCAGCAGGCAGACAAAGCGCCCCGAGCAACGGAAACTACTTGATCAAGTCCCTGAGCCAACAGGTTATCAGCAAGATAGACGAGGCAGGACAACACGAGATCTGGCCCATGCCCACTATGGCTCAGGCTACACAGTGCTCGGCGAGACGCTGCAGATCCTTCAGGGACCCTCTCCAGGCACCAAAGACCATGTCAGAGTTGATAAGGGTCTTACAGGCTTCGGGCCTTCGGGGAAGACACCAGTGAGATTAAGGGAGGAGACCCCTTGCTGGTGAAAGGGGCAGAGAATGCAGGTCATTACCATTCGCTCAGAGCCATCCTCCTGTCGAAGACACGGATGGAGCCGTCGCCGAGCCCTGCCACAATCAGCGAGCGATGAGAATCGCAGGACAGGCTGGTCACGCAGCTGTCGGCTCCTGTGGGGATATCCTGGGGATAAAGTGCACACACAGACCATGCTGAAACCGAGGAAGAGTGTTAGCTTGGCCCCACAGCTTTTGCTGACCTACGTACTCCAAGGGGCTTGGGCAGTCTCCTCATTCGCTCAGGGTTTCAGCGTGCTCTCCCTCCCCTGGAAGGCTACTCTAACCTCCATCTTACTGCCGTCATGTACAGGGAGAACCGAACCGAACCGGAGACACCAGATGGTCAAGGCAGTTCCAGAAATCAGGGCCTGATGAGCATGGGGTCAAGGATCTGATACCGTCCCTGCAGTACAAATGTGTCAGGCCCACAGCCTCCAAAGCTCAGCGGAGCAGCAAGATGCAAACATGAGTTTCCTCTGCAGCACTGCAACACACTCTATTAAAGGACCAGCTTTTTGGTGTACTTAAACTTTACCTCCAAATAAAGGAGGAAGTTCACTTTGGGAAGGAAGGATCAATGTTATCCCCTTCTTAAAAACATCTAATTAATTAAGAGAAATGTCAGGGAGGAGCTCTTGAGCCATAAACCTTCTGCAGCTTCTGCTGGTTGCAAATGCTGCTGGAAGGGCAGGATGAATGGTAAATACTTGGTTAAAAAAAATATTGAGAGATGAGCCAGAGAGGAGGAATGTGTTTGCTGAAAATAAGATTCTTGCAGTTAAGTGACATGTGTGAAAGAGAACCGAGTGTCCACGAAAGGAGAGATTCAGCACATGTTACAGGCAACATCGTCTACCAACACTCCTGTGAAGAGATTGTTAAGGAAACAAGCTTGCAGATCAATCGCTCTTTCTGTGCACTAACCAAATGGCAGACCAACACTGGGTTAAATGTGCTCCTGATGAAAGACCAATACCTTTCCAGGACACTCAAAGGGACTATGCAACAGAAAGTGCATCCGATTAGGAAGCAGGTTTGGTGCATTTCCTATGCACCAAACTAGGACGTCTTTCCTCCAAGAGCAGGCTCCCCTGCAGTGGAAAGCAGTTTGGAAAAACAGGCCTCTTAAGACAAATGCTTTGGTACAGCAGGTCTTTTCCATTCCTCAGGCTCCTGCCATACGGTGTATCATGAACTACTGCGTGCACATAATCTAAAACCTACTTGCCCTCTAGAAAGAATGAAACTATTTTACCAGAAATTGTTTCCCTTTGATGATAATTAGAGTCATTCTGCATAACGAGAACCATTCGGCTCCGTCATTTCCATTTTTGCTTTAACAATACTTTGGCTCCCTCTTTCACCTTTCATCAGTTGATCTCAAACCACTTTAAAGCCCCTCTGTGAGGCTGATCATCATTACTCCCACTTTACAGATGGGTAAATTAAGACAGAGTCATTAAGTGACTTGTGTAAGAAAGCAGAGGGAGTCGGTGCCAAGTCAGGAGCAGAACCCGGCAATCCACGCTCTACAATTACATGGCACGTGGGTTTAGAGGTAACATCTGTATGTAGAGACAGCACCTATTGTACGTCTTAATTTGGAGGTTAAGAATGTAAAGTACCATGATGATATTGCTGGAAATTGGATATGCACCACTATTCTAACACTGCAGCTTTCCCCTCTATCTGCTACAACCAAAGATCCATTTGGAATAATAAGTATACAACTGTGAAGAAGAAAAACAGCTTCAATTAAAACAGATAAGAAAAAAAAGAGCCCAAGCCACATTTTCAAACTTGGATAACAATCAAAGTGGCGCTCTGGAATGGCATTAGCTAATTTCACACTTCAGTCCTATTTCTGTTCTTGCTCATATCCACCTTCTCTAGCTGCTGTTCGCAGCCTCTGCTGAACGATTTAACCATTTCCTGGAGGCACCTCTCTTTGGGAGGCTGCCTTTAGAAAGCTAACGACCTATGTCTCTCCCATCCCAATTCTCATCTCTGCAGCGGGGACATTTGGAGAGAGAGGAAAGGAAGTCCTTGTTCCACGGCTACCGCTGGTCTGCCCCCAGACGTATTCTTTCAGCAGTTCAAAGGGTAGGAAAGCATCTTTATTAGCCTGGTTCTCCCAGCTCCACTACTCTCCGTACTGCCTGTCAGCGTGGCAGTGCGACTAAGTCACAAACTTCTGATCTTCAGAATTTCAGCAAAACCACTTTGTGCATTTTTTTAAAAAAGAAACACAATGCTTTAAGATGCTCTCAGTACAATCATTAATCGTTCTAATTTAAAAGATTTTCACCCTACTGCTTTCTGATGTTCTCTAATTTATGCAGATAAAATAATATTTGAAAATAATTAAGATTAGCATAGGCTTAATTATGCTGCATTGCAGGGTCAAAGTGTCGTAATTAATGCTCATCCAGAGGTAATTAATTCCTAAAATCTTTGGAGATGTGTCTTCATCTTCCCTGACATGGTGACTTTATTTTTGCCAGGCTGCTGCTTCTCCTCGCACTGCTTAAATATCAGCTTAATTCAATCACAACTGACACGAATGCTTACACTTTCTCCCTATTTATTTGAAATGAAAAGAGACGAGTGGTTAGAGTGCTGCCACATCCAAGCGCTCTGTCTGAGGTGAGATGCACTGGAGTGGGATGAAAGCAATGGGAATCCCCGTAATTCTGAAAGAGCGAGTTGAGCAGGTGTGAAAGGGAACTGCCTGGGTACGGGCGAGTGCTGTGCAGTCATCTGCAAAACCAGAAGCATTTTTAATGCTTCGTTATCAGTGACCATCAAGCACTGGGCAAAATTCTCTGCTGAGCTGCACTTCTCTGCTGCGGACCTGGCAGCGACTCCCAACTCTGCTCACCAGGGCAGAGCATGGGTCACAGACATGTCACTCCAATGTCCTGATGCAGGAAAGCCCATTCCGCTATTTTGCATTGCCCAATCCTCTCCCCCCCCCACATCCAGCTGCCTGTCATTCAGCAGAATAGCAATGGCAACTGCCGACAAGGAAAGGCACTGCAATATGTAAGGAAGCATTCACACGTTTTTAGCTGCCTTGTGATGTGGCAGGAAAGGAGAGCCAGCACCGTGAGATCCGTCGGCTTTCCACAGAGCCCGATCTGAGAACCTCTGGCTGCAGGTGCTAACGCACTGCATGATGTCCCCCAGAAACATGCTCCCTGGTGCCTAGCTCCAGAGGTCCTGCTAGCAGCGGAGAAATGTGCGCAAATGTTACCTGGACTTTCATTTCTCTGTCTGTGTCCCAGATCCGGATAATCCGCACATCTCCCGACGTCATGAGAAGCCCAGTTTCCTGCTCCTACGACAAAACACAGAGAGGCCAGGAAAATTATTCTCTGCATGTGCATGGGCAGAGCTGAACGCAACCAAAGACCCGGTTTTGCAATTCTAAACTGTCCGACACATCAGCGTGTCCAAACAGGCCAGTGCTACACAGACATACCCCCATGCTCCTTGCCAAGTGGACCAAGACATCTGTTCCTACAGCTAGGTCCTTCACTTCTTGGGCTAGAAATGCTCTGGCCGACATAAGCTCTCACCCCTTTAGCACCCAGCACTCCTGGGTCAAGATGGGATGCTACTGTGGGACTGTAAGGGAGCCATAATAAATTATCCCTCATCCTATAAGACCACGATGTTAAAGGATGTCTTGAGCAGACAGGAATGGCAAGGACGTGGATACGGTTGGTTTTTGTAGTCCCACCCTAACAGAGGAGATGCTAAGAGCCAACCTGCTTTACAGATGATGGGGCGACCCCGCTTTGTGCGGACGCAGACCTACTTCCCCTTCCTGCCATCCAAGCCCCCTCCTGATCTCCCGCGCGCTCTGGGTTCAGGAGATCTGCTGACATTAATTGACAGTCTGTCTTTCATCCTACTGCAGGAGTCAGGACTCTGCAGTTAAGCTGATAGCTCCTATCTTCATCTTGTGAGTCAAACTGATTGTTACTTCAGATTGCCTGGCAACTCCAAGGGCTGCTAGAGATCCTAAGCAAACAAGCCGGCAGTGATTTAGATGATAAGCACCTCCAAAGTGTTTTCATTTGTCATCCCGTTTATGGCCCATGTGACAAGATAAACCTGGCAGGCCTGAGATGGATACTGCCATTACCATCACTGATGGAGTTAAGTAGGCAAAGCTCTGTTAGGCAGCTTTGAAGCTCCTAATTTTCTAGTTATGTTCCCCAGTTTGAAGACAATCATTTTCTTCAAAATAATCATCAGCCATAATCCCCAAACCACTTGGAGACTGAAGATTTTCCACTGCAGAGAAGGCCCAGGAGAACATCAGTGCAGAGGGCCCGGCCTGGTGCCACGGCACCACGGCTTGATCCGCTCGTCCCCAGGTCACCGTGAAGAGCTCGTTCCTTCCAGCCGTTGCTGGGCTCTCCCGGCACAAGGTGCAGAGCGCAAGGAGCCCAGAAGAGAGCATCTCTCATACGAGACATGCAGGGGCTGGGGAGAATTTACATGATGGAAAGAGAGAATTCACTCTTATGAAAGCAAGGTTCTTTGGGTAGATGTGGTATCTTTTATTAGACCAACTAAATAGCTGGAAAGAAGTTTTTTGCAAGCTTTCTGGCACAAACACCCTTCTTCGGGCACTGGGACACTCTCTCTATGCCCGAAAGCTTGCAAAGAACTTTTTTCCAACTATTTAGTTGGTCTTATAAAAGGTATCACATCTACCTGAAGCGCCTGGCCTGCCTGTGTCCTTAGACCACGACGGCTACAACCAACAACCCTCACGAAGGGCTTTGGGAGAGGAAGAAGGGTGGAAGGTGAGCTCGGAAGGGCTGCGTCACACGTGGAGGGCTCGTCCCGCAGCTGGAGGAGATGCCATTTTACCGAGAAGAGCCTGCTGCCTTCCAAGGCAGCACAGCATGAGGCAGGACTGCAGTCCCACGGGCACACGCTGTATTCGCTGCTAGTCCAAATTAGCTTTCAGGACCCTCCCTCACTGTGATACCTGGCAGCTCTGTTCCACGAGGAAGAGCGCTGGATCTCAAGGATTTCAATAACCGCAGCACGAATGACCTACGCGCTAGCTTGCCTGCCCTGCCCTCTCTCACAAGAGAGGGAAATGCCCTTTTTACCTTATCTGATGCAAGGGGGGCTCGTTAACATCAGACACGTGGCTCGCACGTTGCCCCAAATGACCCATGCACCAGAAAGAAGAGAGTATCTGCTGCATACAAACAGAGTCAAGGGGAGATCTCCGCATTCTCCTTGATGAGAGACTTAGAACAGCCTCAGACCTTCAACCGGAAAACCGCTAAGCCACTCGTCACCAGCGGCTGCCCACGTGTTGGATACAAGGAATACATTACACCCTGGGAAATCTCACCTTCAGCCTCGCAGGGCTGCAGCAGATGACAAGAACAATGCGTGAGATAAAAGAGGCTCAGATGACATGTTTCCAACCCCTTTCAAGGTGA